GTGGAGTCACATGTGAGAGAACACAAGGAATACTTATCTGAAGTAACACTTATCAGTCACCATCAGATTAGTAATATTGATTACATCAACCCCCAATGCACAGCTCAGTAATATTTCTGTGTGAAAGAATGCTCTGATACAAATGTCTACATCCCAGTTTAATCTTCTGCTGAAAGACTCTGAAGACACACTAAATTAAAGAGTGTCAGCAAGGATTAGCTGCATAGTAAGTCTCTGAAGAAAAAAGGCAAATGCCAATGTCTTTGTAAGCATGACCAATAATTAAAAGCTTTCATCATGAAAAAATCATTGCATAATATCACATGCTGACAGGTTTGATTTCTTGTAAGCCTACATCTGTATCATCTGTAAACAGCACTAATTTTCTAGATTCGGTATATATGCATATTTTTCATTTCTCTGTGGATTAGAACTTTTTTGTCTCTTAATTTAGGAATACTATTAAAAATCTTAACTCTCTCCACCATTTCTGAGGCACACTGGCAGTATAGTGGGTTACGCGTGGGGCTGCTGACAGCAAGGTCAGCAGTTTGAAACCACTGGGCGCTCTGTGGGAGAATGAAGAGGTTCTCCACTCCGATAAAGAGTTACAGTCGCAGAAACCCCAAGAGGCAGTTCTACTCTGTCCTACAGTCACTATAAATTGAAATTGACTCAAGGCAGTGATTTGGAGTTTGATACCTGTTTTTCATCAGCACCAAAACACATTCACATGAATAACAACAAAACCTAGGTTTTACGCAATAGAGATTACTTTGAGAGTTTGTTATATATCAACTTCTACTGCCAAAGATTTTGACTAACTTCTGCAGTCTGAAATTGATCACACATACCATCAAGAGGTATCAGTAATTACTGGTTGAGTGGAATGCAAAAATTTGAAACAAAGAAGGATCGACAATTGAAAACTATGGCCTTAGTAATAGGCCAGAGATCACATGATAGTATGCGGCAACAATCCATAGGGACTTTGCAGATGGAATATATAGGAATCAGATCAACTACATCTGTGGAGAGATATGGTGGAGAATCTTAGTTAACATCATCCAGGGTAAAGTGTGGAACCAACCATAAATTGTTCATATGCAAAAAGGAATGGAAGGAAATTAAAACAAGTCCATGAAAGTCAAATTATAGAAAAGTGGGTGAAGGGAGACATCGGTCAGTGTAAGACATAAAAAATAATAATAAGTTATAAATTATCAAGGATTCATGAGGGAGGAAGGGTGGGGAGGGAGGGGAAAAAATGAGGAGTTGATACCAAGGGCTCAAGTAGAAAGAAAATGTTTTGAAAATGATGATGGCAACAAATGTACAAATGTGCTTGACACCATGGATGGATGGAT